CCACAAACTGCTAAAGACATCAAAGCATTTTCTCAGTGTCTATGAGGTTAGCAAAGCAGTTGAAGTTTGATTTGTGTAACAGCACAGTTGTGTTTCAGATTTAATCAGTACATAGTTGAATCCAGAAAGATCTGGAGAAGGTAGACCAAAGTCCCAGTCTGGTGTTTCAGTCACATTTCAACTCGATGTTTTTGTCAAYGTATTATCTGCCTTCTGTGAGACACTGGAGCCCCTGTGGAGGCCATGTGCTGCTCTCCCTGCGAGCTGAGGGCAGGTGAATTAGTGCCAGYGCACCTGATTTCTTACTGCCAGCAGACAAAGCTTGCAGGTCCCCAGTACAAGCAGCTCCATTTATTCACAGCAGCACAAGCTGCCATCCTTCGCGTGGGTTTGCCTGAGGAGAGTGCTCGCCCTTTACCGCTCAGCCTAATTACTGACTCACGCTAATGGCTCATTACTGATTCAAACTGCTCAGTCTGTTGGCTGCATAACTGGGCCATTACCATTTTCTAGAGGTAAGACTCTTGGAAAACAGCAGGAAAAAAGCCACAGAACCGGCCAACTTGCCCACAATTGCAGCCTAGAGTCTTCCTGCCAACAAAGCCTGCCTTTAAACTAATTTCTGACAGTTAAACCCACAAAAACGAACCCAATTCTACACGTTTAATTGGCAGGAATTTCGAGTTGCTCATCTTAGGTTTCTCAAACTGCTTCAGTGTTTTATTGTACGCTGGAAAAACTCACTGAGGAACGCTTTTTGCAGCTCCACACAAGAGTCATGTCTACATGTAAGACAATAAGTGTACAAGTTCAGCCGGGGCTTTGCTTTCTGTGGGGCTATCAAGAGTTTACATTTCACCACCAACTGTTCAGGGAATAGCAGATGCTATAGTCAGCTCTTGCAATAGGGAAACAAGACAAGTCAAAACAGGCCTGGAACTTATTGCATTGCAAGAGACCTTATAAAAGAAAAAGAGAGTTCATACCACTCCAGACTCTTCATGACTGACAATGAAAGTTGCTCCAGCCCAAATTTACCCTGCAGTTGCATCATCTTTCAATCCCAGATTATAGAACCAACCATCCTTTCCCATTTTCTTTATTCAGTTGATTAAAAAATGGTGTAAGAYAGCGTCCAAAACAATAAACTACCACTAATGAACCAGTATCCTCACTTCAATGTATTTCTTCTTCACTCATTTCCAATTTTTACACTTTCAATTCACTACGTCTCCAGTTTCAAGAACCAAGACCAAGAGACTTTACAGAGGTAAGCAGCTACATGGCTGCTTTTTAAATGCCTCTGGTTCCTGACCAGCCTACTTTTAAAACTTTCTTGGTGACTGTAAATGACACTACTCCTGATTGTAATATGATAAATCTGAGCTAAAGCCCCAGAACTTCCCAGACAAAGAAAACAAAACTTTATTTTGTTTTGTATTTGTTTCTTTTGTCTCAAAGCATGGCACAATTTCCCTTTGGCTGGAAAGGAATCTTCTGCATTCCTTAGGCAGGGAAGAAATCCAGTAATGTTGGCTCCAAGATGCCTTTCACTGCTTCTTAAAACATTAACAACATCCTAGTGGGAGAGACCGGGGAGATCCAGACCTCTAGAGGACAGCACACATTTTCCAAGTGTCTCAGGCCTTTCCAACTAAGCAGCAACTGGAGCAAATTAATGCAGAAGCTCCTTTTGAGAAAGGAACTATACAAAGAACAAGTCAGAATAACAAAAAAAGAGACAGCAACAGAAATCTGTAGGTTCTGGATATCCCAGTCTCACAGAAGAATAATTGCATTCCTTAGCAAAGGTCTTGGGAACATGTTTTTCACTTGCAGGACAAATTCAGCATARAAAGGTCAGTGGAAAATGTCTGAGCTGCAACGTCACAAACCAGCATGGTCTGAAGAGCCTGGGTTTSCATTCCACCTTATGGAAACATGCCTCCATTCCCCAGGCCCAGGTCTGCTCTGCATTCCAGCAACTGAATGGTTCTCAGACACAGAACAAATCAATATGGTGTATGTTATAGTTTTATGTTTAGTGCCAATTTAATTTGATTTAAATTACCTTATGGGGCAAACTGTTTGAGTAACTGGCATTGCATTATACAGCAACAGCAGCAATGTAAATATGGATAAACAGAGCATGGAATTTTAAAAAAAAAAAAAAAAAGTTATCTCTTGCCAGCATGCTTGCTTGTTCTCTGGACAAAGCTCCACAGAGCCATTTCTGGAACTACATGCCAAGCCACATGAATACAAAGCCATTTTGTTTTCTTCTCATCAGTAGTGAGAGAGCCTGTGAGTGGAATTGTATGTTACATCACATCTTCTGGTACTCCACCATACCTACTGAGGCCCAGAAACTAAAGCTAAACAGGAAGGAAAAGAGGGCAGAAGATTTGGAGGAAGAGTTATTACCAATAACCAGCCTTCTTCTCCTTCCAACATTAATTTGCCTCTCCTAAAGGACAGCTAATATGCCAGTAAAGTCTTAATTTATTACCCAGTTGCATAAGCCTACCCACCTACACTGTTTCTTAAGGCAGAGTAGCCTCCACCCTCCTGCCCTGAACACTTGAAAGGCACAAAGTTTATTAGCTCATTTTTTACATTCCTGTATGAATGAGACAAAAGAAATCACTTTTGAGAGTCTTAGCTATTCTTTTCCTTCCTCAGAGTACCTACTCTGCTCTGTGCCAGATAATGCTCTTTGATCATAAGACCCTCACTCAGGGATAAAGAGAGGGAGGAGTCTGCTGTGTAATGGGAAAATTCCAAAAGCTCCCAAATCTGATGGCAGTTGCCCAAAGAGATACCACAAGTTTCCAGGTTCTGCCTCTAGAGGAGAAGGGTCATCACTGACCCAGTTCCTGTTGGACCCCTCCTCATCCTGCCCTTTTTGTCAACTTGCAAAGGGCAACCTTTGTAAAAAGTGTCTGAACACTCAGCAAGAACAGATGTTATGTGCATGCTGGCCAGCCATCAGTCTTCAGAGAAGCCAGACCTGCAGCAACCACCTTGYTTCAAGAAAGCCAGGCTGTTCTTGATTCCAGCTTCCTAACAGCAGGAACTGATACTGAAACTTTGAATCAAGGTAACAAGAAAAAACACTGATAAGAAAGACAAACGCATTTTTAGATTGGCCGCTTTCATCACTAGATGAAAAAGTAATGCTATGTCCATCAAATTTTAAACCAAATTATTACAGCTTCTAAAAGCCCTCTTGAATTTAAAAGACCCATTTAATAGCTGCTTGTAAGTATTTTTTCTAACATGATGGAATAGGGCCAGACTTGCTTGTGTGTGGGTTTCCAGCAGATATGAACAGATTCAGAACAGAAGGGGACAGGAAGTTTACATGACTGCTTGAAGCATGCTGGCCCAAAGGGAAACGTTTCCCCTTTGACAGCTACTGCACAGGATATCTCTGCAGCCACGTGACCAAGCACACCATTCTTGAAACAGAATGCCACAGGCAGCACCAAGGAGAATCAATTTATATTACAAATTTTAAATTAATTCACACCATTTACAGTTCTCTTTTTGCGCGTTCCAACCTCTGAGTTAATTAAGGGAGTGAAGAAGAAAAAACAAGTTCAGATGTCTTCCCCTTTTGCTCCCGTTTCGTATGAAATCCAGTGTCATCTGCTTTCAATGCTAGAACAATGGACCAGGACTACCCAGGTAAAAAAGCCTACAAATAACTCAAAAATAATGCAGATTTCAAGAACTATTTGATTTGCTTGTACTTCCGGCTACACTGGCAATGATTGCATTAACAGAATTATAAGAATGTGTTCAGGTGCCAATTATACATTAATGCATAATTACAGGTTTAAAGAGACACATCCTTACCTAAAATAAGAAACAGGCTTCAGCATTCAGTCTCAACTAAGTAGCTTTCCCTTTCTTTCTTCTCCTTACTTTTACTAAGCTATTGAACACAAGCAGTAGACTGGAGAGCAGATATGCTCAAAATGTATCACTGCTCTGAACAGAGCAATCTAAATCCTATCAAGTGCTTTCAGGACTTGATTTGACGTTTCCAGTGAGGAAGATGCTCCTCAAATTAAAGTATTGGCATCAAAGTCAGTATTTTCCTGGGTTTTGAAGTGTCAGGAATAACTGGTTTAGAGAGTTAGGACTAAAAAGCCTGATTCAGTTATCAAAATAGGAACATCTGCCAGGAAACAGCATTCAGCCTCACCAGCAGAAGTGAGGATGCATTCAGCACCGTTTTCCTGGAGTAAGGAGACAAACTCAAAAGTTGACTCTGAATTGGGGCTAGAGGGAAGAAAGGCTGAAAATTAGGRTACGGAAAAGGCCTAAAGACAAATTTGACTGCTACTCAATGGATACTTCAGTGGTCAACCCTCCCAAAACCATTTCAGTGAATGCAAACCAGAGGACGTAGGGAAGAGCTATGAATACTCACAGAAGAACAATGACCCATCTACTGCATGGCTCAGGAGAGGCAAGGAGTGAAGGCAGGAGCATAAAGAAGAAGAATCAATGTCTGTGAGGTTTCCAAGCACAGCTAAGATTTATTCCAGTGCTGCTCCAGCTGGCCAGAGGGTTTTATACACTGTTAGAAAAACCCCACCTTTCAATGCACACAAAGCCACAACCCAACATCGGCACTCCTGTTTCCTGGAGTACTAGTCATACTGACAGCCGTCCTAATCTCTCGGGATTTTACTGAGAAATGCTCAGTAYGTTACTTCAAGGTGAACAAGCAGAGGTTATTCTGGGCCAGCCACTCCTTTGGGAAGTTTGGCTTTCTTGTTCTTCAACTCAGCTGAGGAGCACAGAGCAGAGTGCACCCTTTTCTACTCCACAGGGAACAGAACAGTCACCTTATTCCTCCYCCTGAAGGAAAGCTCCAATGGCACATCCACCCCTGCACCCTGAGCTTGTCAGGAACCCATGTTCTTAAGRGACTTGGCTGGGCAGCAGATATTACAAAACTTGTTGAAGCACAGGACTCCACTCACCTTTCCTTCCTGAATTACCCTGGCTTGATGGTTTATCAGTTACAGAACCTAAAGGAGAGAAAAAGAAAAGAAGAAAAAAAATGACATYAATTTACATGCTGCACAATAAACACAGATCATATGATGTCACATTAATACAGTCAATATCTCAACGCATAAAGCATCTATTTTACTTGTCAACAGCRCCATTTAGGACTCAGAGCCTGTGGCTTCAACCAATGTGAAAAGCATAAGGAAGTTTCATGCGTTAAGATATTAAATGTRGATGAGGGTAAACAAGAAATCTTTAGTAGCTGAATCTAGTGATTTGAAAGACCTCAACAGAGCAGCACGCTAGTAAGAAACTTGGAATAAATCCAAGGGCAAGAAGGAAAGATCAATAAGAGTCATTACTTTCGTTTGCAAATGTCAGGAAGAACAAATCAAAAACAGATGGGGAGAGTGTGCAGGGAATGCAAGCATAGTATTCTGAAGGAAAGGGATTAAGTGGGACAATTTGCAGAAAATGGATTTCAACCAATCCCTGAAYATCCCCTGTTTGAAATGGGACACTGGATAAGATCCAGCATGTACTTGAATAGGACACATCTTGGGTTGTTTAGTATAACTCAKATCTTCACACAGTCTATATGATGCTTGTTCTGCATTCTGCTTTAGTGCTTCATCACAGTTTCCTACTAAAACTTGAACAGGTAATAAAAGCYTTTCAAATAAATCCCTTACCAAATTATATTTAAAATATATGACAAGCCTTTTTTTTTTAAATTCACAGTAATTTTTTTTTATTCACAGGAAACCAATTCTTTGATTCTTCCATGCACCATTACAAAACAGTTCCAGTGATTATTGAACAATCAGGAAACATGGATCAAAAGTCAGTTCTAAAGAAGGCAGCTCTGACAGGCCCAAGAATCTGATCAAGACAAACTCTGAAGGTAAATTCTATTGCCCAGGCACTTTCAYTTGCAGATCAGTTCATCACAGATCTACAGCTGAATTACAAGTAGTAAGCACAAACTCAGGATTAGTCATCATATGCCTTACATCTGTGTCCTACAATACAACATGACTTTTCTGCAACACAATTTTGTAAACAGCACAAGACTCACTGAGTAGATCAGTAAAACTCTGAAACATGCCCKACCAAAATGATAAACTGGAAATGCTGTCATAAAATCATATTCTAAAGGTTTAAGCCAAGTTACTATAACATTTCATCTAAATAGGATATTAAYAGCTTTTTCTTTCCACATGCCTGTGAAAAACCAAGCATCTCCTCGAGGAGCATTGGCTCACTAATTCTCAAGACAGCTCACCCACTCATTCAAACCCTCATGCAAGTCATTTACATTTGCTTATTACCACGGAACACCATACAGCCAAGAGGACACCAGATAAGGTGAGAAAAATTCAAAAACCCAGTGGTTTGATGGCTGTCATGCTCCCAGCTAAAGGGCAAATGCTGCAAGGTGTGAGAGGAGAAATATGTTTAACACCCCTGAGGTGTGGACTGCAAAGCTTGAAGCCAGACACAGCAGCTTACGTAGTATCACTGAACAAGTCAGAAACACACTCCTATGCTTACTGCCTTGTCTTTCTTTTTTAATTTTTTTTTTTTTTTTTGGGGGGGGAGAGAGAAAAGTGAGAAGGGCAGCACAATTCTAGCACAGAATGACTTCCCCCTCCCTGCATCTTCTGTGGTGTTGTCACAGCAGCACTGTTGACCGGAGCTCAAAAAGCCAAACCACCACTGATCAGGGCCATGTGAAAATCTAGAGGTCAGCCTCATTCCACTTGAGCTATGGGCTACCATACTGAATGGTGGGAGAAGAAAGAAAACCAGCATTACTCCTTTTTAAAGAAAATTGTGGATTTAGTCTCAATAAACCACAGAGCGACAAAGTAATGTCAGGCTGAGCACCCAGAAACACATCACTTAATAAACATGAGTAACAGCTAGGTCTGGACCAGCTGTGCTGCAAAGCCCATGTGCTGCCCACCCCATGACACAAACACAGGGATCCTAAACTCAGGAACATGGTCAAAAGATTCAAATTCATTACAACAGTAGGACACCAGAAACTGACAGCTTCGCACAGAACCACCTTCACTAATTAACTGAAATCACTCTGTACAAAAAATTACTCYATGACCCACAAAATGCAGCCCAAAAAACATTTCTTTGAAATACAGATCATGGAAAAAAGTTATCCCATCTGTTCAACAAATTTTGGTTTTGGTGCACACAGCAACAYTGACTCTTGCCTTGGCTACMACAGGTTGTTACCTTAGTGGTTTTYCTCACCAAGCCTCGCAGAAGTGGACATCCTAACTGCAGGGTGGACATGCCAAACTGCAGYGTTAAGTGGGATAAATTGGCCAGTCACCTGAAAAGATCAGGTTCTCTCAACAGGATGCATTCACCCCAACCCTCTTTGGTCATAAAATTAGTATTTGCTGAAGCCACTCCCACAGTACCTGAACATACAGGAGTTTTGTTCTGTACAGAAGAGCCGCTAATAGGCTTGCCATCAGGTGTCACACACCAGCAGTATCCAGTGTAGGTATGGCACTGCACCTGTTTAATAAAACAAAGAGCAGGCATTTCATTTCTCTATCACTCTATCACCAACCACTTTTACTACAATTCACATCTTACTGGAAGTCCCAACCCAGATTAACCACAAACATGCTTCAGAGCAAGGAGGTCTYACAGAAGATTACCTTTGATATCATTACCTTTTCTTCCCTCACCACCCGCCCYCCCACCTAAAGAAATGTTACTTCTCCTGCTCCAACTCCTGTAGCTGAAATTCAGGAGGCAAAAGAAGTTACAAGTAATCATCTGAGAAATCTTTAGYTGGAGGATGGAGCAGTTGTATCTCAGCTCATTCCATGCTCTGCTATATCCCACTTACTGTTTACTATTAAAAAGTTGTCCAATGGCATCCCAGCTAGGTTATGGTAAGCCCACCCTGTCCCAAATTGCATAGCCACTGCTTGAGAGCAGCATCTGTAGGATTTCAAAAGCATTKTGTTCAGTAAACATGGCTGTAAAAACACAATACTGACTTACTATGTTAACAAACCTTCTGCAGATAGATTTAAGCCCTATTCTATTACTATGTCAAACTACWCAGCAGGAGCAAGATCCAACATGCTCCTGATACATTGACATGGACTTAAGAACACTTGATGAAGGTTCTAATGAGCCAAAAGGTACACAATACGAAATTCATCTTGATTGACTTTAGAGCTGTGCTTCTGAACTGAACATCTAGAGTTGCCCAGTTCCTTCCTTCACCAAAGAAAGACACCAAAATTACTAATTCMGATATAGAACCTCTTAAGTGAGAATAGGTAAGTCGTAGCAGACTGATRTTAGTAACATCTATGCAGATATTAATCCAGCAACAGTAGAGYTTCATTCAGCCTAACAAATCTAATGATAGCCTTTGCCTCAGCTTTCAGARTARCCAGCATTTGGATGAAAYTCAGGATGCYTTTGACATCTTTGAGATAAAAGTAAATTATCATTGTACAGGCATCTGTGTAAATACTAACAGGTCCCAAAATCCTTTCTAGCAAACATACTTTCAGCTGTGGCTAAATGTGCACATCAGTATCTTGAAATGGTACAGATGTGCCTATGTTACTACAGAGATGGCTCCTTCAATATATTTATGAAAAAAAGCCACAGAATRAGACCACTTCAGAAACTGCCTTTATTTTACTTGTAAAATTAATTCGGTCCATTCTCTCTTTTTCCAAACAAGTCCATTGGAACCAATTTCCCATTCCAGTCCTCTTCACACAGAAGAGAAGAGTGATGGGGTGTTTTTGCTGCTCCCCTCATTAGCGATCCTTCAGAGCTAAACCAGTCGTTCCCCCTCRCTGACAGCTGGCTTCAATGCCCTAAGGTAGCAAAGTTTGTTCGGAGATTTAATGACAGTTTTTTTAAAAGGCTTTGAATATCACATAAAACATGATCTAAGAGCAATTATAACACAGTACGTTGTGTTTATCTTGGGTTTTACTTGTTTATCTTGGGTTTTACTAAAGTGCAAATCAATCATTTTGCCTCAAGCATTTACTTTTAGTAGCCAAAATCAACAGTAATCTCATGTACCCATGTTACTGCAGTCACTGTCACTGCTATTTGCAGTTTCATTTTTCTTCTCTCAATACATCACAAAGTTGACTGCAAATTACTCGAAAGCACTATGACTATAATTAGCAATAATCAAGTTAGAAAATATTTATTATTGCTCAATCTAATCAATTGAAACTCAAAACAAATGGGATGGAACTGCTTGGGTTTGTGTTTAGACTTCACCTTTGCTGTTCACACACACACACACACACAAAAGCGCATTCCCAACAGCACAAGAAGCTGTCTTGACATCTGAGCATTAATTGTAAAAATCCTACCAAGGGATAAAGCTAAATTCCAGGATAGGGTCTTGAATTCATAGGGCAAGCCCATTCCATGTGTACCCAGCATATAAAAAATTCAAGTATTAGTCACTTGACAGTCCTTTAGCCAAGCCTTCAGAAAAATAACAAAGTACATGGCAGAGTAGTAAAAAAAGATGTATTTACATATATTTAGGATAGATGTATTAACTAAGAGTATGCAACTTGCCTCAGTGGAGAGCTACCAATTACATACACTCATTCATGCAAGCCAAGCACATTACATCCTTAAAAGTGAAGTAATTTTGTAAATAACTAGGCTAAGGAATGCTAGTCTTCCTCGGATTGGTATCCCATGACCCTTTTTTCCCCCATGCTGCCATTAAAAAAAGGAAGACAAAAAAAATCTGAGACTGATAGAACTTTCACAACAACCACAACCACATGTTTTACTGTGGCACCAAAGGACTTCCCTACAACAGACAACTGCAATTAAATCTCAGCCTTTATCCTAAAGGCCAGACAGCTACCCACGAAGAATGGACACTTCAGAAACCTCAGAAATCAGTGCAGTTGTTTTTCCTGAATGTCTTCACTTTGAGACACACTACCTTTTGCCGTTACACTTCATCAAGTCTCAGCATTTTTAGGTGTCCTAACAAGTGGGCTACAGCCCTAGAGTTTGCAGCTTAAAGACTGGGGGAAAAGGTATATTCCTCATCAGTTACACAGAACTGGTATGACAAATGTAAAGGCAATGGCTGATCTAGCACCATTTCTAAGCACTGTGTRTAAACAAATGTAAAATGTCAACTATTTCAGAGTGCCTACAGTAAAGAATCTCCAAAATGTGAGGGTTTAATTTAAAATTTCCCATTTATCTTATGTTTGAGCTTTTACTTCTAAATAAAATTTCAACTGTCAACCCAAAATTCAACCTCATTCTAATTCTACTYCCAAAGCAGTGAAATTTTAAACACTGTTATAATCAGAAGAGTAACTATGCAAGCATGACAGATGTTTACTGCACARATCTAACCTTCAGTCATTCAATTAATCTTGACTATCAAAATACATGTTAGAAAAAGYGTGTTTGAGTTTTTTGGCTTTCAGTCTTCTAAAGCTAAGCATAGAGGCAACAGAAATACAATCTTATATACTAAAATACAATCTTACATACTTAACAGACTTGGGTGTTAACCAAACTGCAGCTACAGAGTCCCTGCTACTGCTAGAAATGCACATGATTGTATGTTGGGATATCAAATTCTATGTCCAGCTGTTGGACAGGTATAAATTACATAACAGGAAATCAGACAAATAAAATCTGTAAATTGTTTGAGGTCTTCAACAGATTACCATTAATATCTACATTAAAAAAATTCCAATTGCATTGTAACGCATTGCAAGCAGCCAAATCCCTAATCATGCAGAAGGGCATTGTTCCCATTTTTCATGGAGAGATAGGACATCTCACCTGTGTCTCAACTGAAGGGTGAAAAGCATGAGGGACAAACCCAAGAAAAAATGCTCCATCACCACTCTCCAAATTAAAAGCATAGCAGCAGCTTCTCTATTTCACCCTGCCATTACTATATGTGAAATCAAACAGCAGCCAATATACTGGCCATACGATCAAATACAGGCTCTCATAATATTCCTTCCAACATGCAAACATTAAAAGAGCAGTCACTGGTAGATCACTCTGTTTTAGCTCCTGAGGGGAAAAAGAGGCCATTCTTTGGTTTCCTTCAGTATGTCACTGGCAATGCCAGAATCAAATTCCCAAAGTAGCCCAAAGCTTCTAAACAAGCAAGCAGAATCCTTTGTAGCTGTCTAACAAAGGAGGATCAAGGGGTTGTTACTCAAATATAAACTGGGAGTGAGAGAGAAAGTGAATGCACATATATGACAGAGAAAACAGAGGCAAAGCAGCAATTCTGTGATGGTCAAAACCATTTTCCATGGAGTTACAGAAAGAAATAGATTGCTGTAAGAGGCTTGAGAGCACCTTGAACATGCACTGGAGTAAGCAAGCAAGAGCAACRCTCAGACTAGCCTCTCACTGCTGTTCAAATGAAAAGTTTAGCAACCCATTCCCAWCCCATCACAGATCAAACAAACATTTCCTGGCTCCTTCCACAATGGAGGGTAGAGATGAGAAGGGATGAACATTCCTTCTGYATTCAAAGCTATACGTGTATGACAAATGAAAAAACACATGCAGTTTTTGRGTGGCACTGCTGAGGGTAAGGGCGGCAGCAGAGCTACCGACTGCACGTGTGGCACAAGGTAAGGCTCCAAATCCTGGCTGCACCCAGGTGCTCCTTGTAAACACTGTAAAAACAGCTAAATAAATAGCTCCAAACCAGTAGGTCATCTAGTCTGACCCAGGCAGCAGAAGCCAGCATCGCACAGCACTCCTTTAATTGAGTCTTTCCTTCGTTCAAGCCATTGAGAGCAGCTAGAAAGCCCTCTGAACACAAGTTAGTGTACACGTGCACAACCAGCACATTGACCTGATGGTTMTTTATCTTAACTCTGAATGGAGGTGCCTCTGTTCTGCTCTATTGCGCCTGTCCTGCTCTATTGCTTAGACCCTGGATCTTCCCGTACTTTTTGCTATATTAAGAGTCAGATGATTATTGTCAGAAGCCTGTCCTACATTTATAGGGAATTTTAGGGAGATACGACTCAGTCTGCATCTTGTATTTAAGCTTCTTTGGGACTGCAGCCCCTTAAATAATTTTTGTCACTTTTTTCTGTTCTCCAGTCACATTTAATTCTTCACAAATGATGTTGTGCAAATATACCCACCAGGGCTTTATGCAGCACCCACTTCCCTCAAGTCTATGCATTGTTCAAGAAATGTTTGCTCCACAGAAATTTCATTATTCATATAACCTGGGAAAGAAATTACCTGAAGTAAAAGAATATTAGTCACGATCAAGGGCATTCCCATCACACACGCTGACACATACACTATTTTTAGTTCTGGAGAAGGGTCCCCAAGAGAGGCATTTTGCTTCTGACACAGAATGTGACACTTTGAAGTTAAGAATGATCTTGCATATTAACTTTCTTTAAGAATGCCTACTCCCATTTTRAAAACATGTTCCTTTGCTCCCTCAACTAGTACTTCTTTGAAGAAATACCACAAATAAYCAAAGTTCTTACCTCCTTATTTATTCATGGGTTATCTTTAGAACAAAATACAAATGAGAAACACAATAAAAGATGCAGGAAGAAAGCAAATGGACCAACCTGCAGAGCAGTACTCATAGAGAGCTACAACCACAAWATTTTAGAGGAGGGATGTCTTCTAAAAAAAAAAAAAATCCAGAACCACCTACCAATTAAAACCAAGATACTTTATAAACAGTTTCTTTAATCCAGCAAAATAGACTGTGTTCTTGTCTTCTGAAAGGAGAGGTTAAGTCCTTGAGAGTTTAGTATTGCTGGAATATGAGCACTGGATAATGGAAYAATAGACAGCATCCAGGGAATGTGGGACACGTCTACACAGTACCTTGCTGTTTTAAGAAGTKTGTCTGTAATTCTGCCCAGCATCACACTACTCTAGCCAATACAGAGGAGCAGACTTGAAGTTACACTGAAGGCTTAAAGGATTCCCCACATCTTTAGAAAGGGCTTTTTGTGGAACTTGGGAGAAAACAGAACTTTACATGTGCATCAGCATAGTGTGGAGGGAAACTATTGGTATGGACCCTAACACAGATCACTTTTCCAAGCAAACTTATATTGTCAGATGTGGGAGTGCTCTGGAAGCTATCTGATAATGGAGAACTGCTCTGACAGCCCACTCACTGATCTTGTCGTAAGGTGACAGGTTTGAATGATGCACTTGCTTTAAGAGAAATCTCTGTGCTGCATCATAACTGCACCCAGAGCCAGATTTTAAGAACCCTAAACTCAGAGAAACTCTCCAAGAAGACTTGCCCGCCGACACTTGTATGCAGACTTGTGAGGAAAAGAAACCACAACAAGACAGTGGAAGGTGGCAGCAAATAGCAAGACATACCACAAAGTCCCACARAACTATACCCCCAAGGCAGGATTAACATTATTCATGTACATATTAATCTGTCTGAAACAGATCCCATTTGAAATCTCAGCAACCTTTTCTGAAAAACTGCTTGGGGGAAAACTATGAAGAATGCGAGTCTCCCTCAGCCCATGGCAACAAGCCCAATGGCACTAGGCAGCAAAACAAAGTGTGCAGATTACCCACTAGTGCCTGTTGTTTATGAAGAAAGATCACAGCAGGTTAAGTGCAGCAAGGAAAAGGAATGGCATTTATGCAAAATACAGCATAACAGCAAAAAGGCAAAAGTCTTGGGAACAGAAACTGCTTTTAGTCATATTCAATTTTGCACAATAGTACTTGACCTCAGTTTTCTACAATTAATCAAATTACTCATATCCAACAAATATTCTTATGTTTTGAATAACTCGAATTTTATCTGCCTGCTTRTATTACTGTGGGCTAAGTATAGAGAGGTTTTCTTATAGGAAGCAATATTCCCCACATAGACTGAAATATTAGACATAGCAATTCCAAAGGAATTAATCAAGTCTGCTTTCCTTTACAGTCATCCCATCATGCTTGCAGTGCCACCACCTCTTCATGGTGCAAATCCATTTCACATTTTTAGATGTCTAAGTGGCACAAAAAAGGRATGTGATAAGATCTTTGCAATACACATATTCAACAATAAGGGAAGCAGCATGTGGTGCATAGAAACAGTTATGACAACCAGTGAATTGACAAGTGCTTGCCCCACTTGATGCAGTACACAAACCCCATTATACCTAGTCATGCATAGGAAGACTGGAAAACTGATCAGCTGAGCAGCAGAATCAGTGGCAACACTGCTTCTGGTCTAAATTTCACAGACAATGAAAACCAGACCGATCATACAAATGTTTAASACAATGCATGATGTCTCTCTAAGACAGCATTTAAATGCATGCCAAAATAAGGTCTTTGACTTTAGGGCTTCCTCCCTTTCAGGCTTGTTCCCACATCTATCTAACTGTGGCAGAGCCAACCCTGCAGGGAAGCTGGAGAGGGTAAGRTGAGCACGGTCTCCCTGCTGAAGCCGCTGCCTGTGTGGCACACGCTGTGGCTCACAGAGCAGCAGAGGAGCTGTGCTCTCATCACCATCCCACAGCCTCATCCAATCTGCAATGGATCCAGCCCCAAATTCACTATTGAACTGGGTACAATTCCAGGAGCTGGAAAGGACAAACTTGAGCTGCTTTCAGAGGAACAGCCCCACTTTCAGGGTTTACCCATAGTGACTGCAATTTAGCTTCTAATCAAGAGAATTACGATGCACTACAAAATCAACAGCTCAAACTGATTAAGGCCAAGCAGGTTCTCTGAACATAGTTACTACTACCAAATTCTCCCACATCTGTACTGCTCTTGTTTTTCAGTCCCACAAAAATTTCAAAAAATTAATTAATTAGATTTAAAAAAAAAATCAGACTCATGAAGTCTGATGTCAAGGACAATGATTTGGGCCTAAACACCTCTGCATTCAGTAGGCTCAGCAAGATGATCTGAAAGCAAGTCATCTACATCTTGAATGAATGCTGTAACAATTCAGTCACTTGATATTCTAAATATATGCATGCATCTGTTTCTTCTCTGATCAGAATTTTTCTTCTACATAAAACACTCTTTCAAAAACAGTTACACAGAAAGAAAGGGGGAAGTTGTTGAAAAAGTCTCCCTAGCCAGTTCCACATACAGAGCATATACCCTGAAACACGTGCATCTGCTTATACTCTTTTTGGGATGGGGATTCCATGTTGAAGAGCACAGTGGATATTTCCTAGAAACTTCATTGAGAGATGCCATTTCTCTTGTAGACTTCCCAACTGAGATTATGGAGACTAGACAGAGCAACACTCTGGATAGTGAACCACAATAAACTAACAACAGACCAGAGCTGACCTCAGCAAGACTTTAGGGACTTCAAGAACATAGCCTCCCTATGGAGCAGAACCCAGCAGCACCAATTCTCTGCTCAAGAGATTCAGTATCTAAAATACCTCTACCAGGTGAGATCTATTCATGAGTTGCTGGAAGCAAAACTTGTTTAGATTGTTCACCAAAATTTTAATTTTTATACATACTTCTAAAAATCAAAATTTAATTCATTTCAACCAGAAGCTAAAGGTTGAAACTAGTTAGCTTTCTTGGACATTATTTTTCACTTAAATCTTATGCAGGGACAATTACCTCAAATGCCGCAATAGAACTGATGAAGCTGGTTCATGAGGTATGTGGAACGTAAGGTATTTTTTTGATCCAAGGAATGATATGAATTTCAGTTAATTCCAGATACAAAGAGATCAGAGCCTTCCTTCATCATGCCAGGTAAAACAAAAGCACTTCAGTGTTCACAGATAGAACTGAAYGGAGGAAGAATGTGGAATATCACTTGGCTGCCAACTGCCAACACACAAGTTTCATAAGCAGTTTCATGCTGCCACTCAACTGACAACCAACACTGGCTAAGGAATGTGAGGGAAAAGTCCAGCAATTGCTCCACAATCCAGACACTGGCACCAACCTTCAAAATAAACCCGTTTGAAACAAAGCTTTATCAACTATACCATCAGTCCAGTTATAAGGATAAAAATTTCACCAACTTTACTCTCTAAAAGGTTGATGGAGAGATGATAGACATTTCAGAGTCACCTTTTATACCCCGTTTTTCTTGARCTGCAAAGTTCAACATGGAACACTTTATTCCATGTTGGCCCACTGTGCTAGGTTTTATAAATATTCCCCTCTAGTGCCAACACAATCTGAGCAGCTCTACACAAAATCAAATTTCAACAATTGAAAGCGCCCTTAAACTGCAAGAAACTGCAGCCATCTTCTCTTACCCCAACCTTCCCATGATGGTCCACACTGTACAGAAATACAATGCTGCTCCAAGGAAGCATGTAAAGTTTKCAGGATGAATAAAACTTTTTCCACTTCACCATCAAAAAACAAAAACAAAACAAAAACACTCCCACACAGCAGATAATGGGAGGGTAAGGCTGAGGAGGGGAATAAAATTTTTGATGGGTTATCATAAAAAAAAAAAAAATCTTCTATTCCCCCAGGCATCACAAAATGTTTGAACCAAACCCAAACCTCTCCGCCTCTCTCATCTTTTTTAAGCCAATATTGATGTTATTTTGGAATTTCTTTTACCTTCAAAAGACTTTGCAAACAACCAATGTACCTAAAATTTCTCTGAGGAAGAAGGTGTCTAGAGCAGTACTAGATGCATGGAAGCTAAGGCAAAAATCATTCTGTAATTTACCTGAATTCACAAAGTAGAGGTCATAAGATTGCAAKGTTTTGGCTTTTTAGATGTATGCAAAACTGAGCAGACAGCATGAAACTGTGTCAGGAAACTGTGCATGATCCATTTTTAGCAGCAAGTTCAGTCAGCACAAGGACACTACTCAATGTGCTAGTGGTAAGACAACCAAGTAAACCTGGAACTTTGGCAAACTTCAGCAAGTGAAGAGTGAAGAATCAAAAATCCAAACAAAGCAGTCTTATCTTCTCTCTGCCAGACCCTCAAATCACAACAGAGCATAGTACAAGAAGTACCCTGCAGAGGGAYAGGCTGAATAGATTGTTTTTTTACTGGGATAGATGAAGCAGAGGTAACAAAGTCAGCTGGGTCCACCCTGCTCTATGTAAGCCACAGCTCCCCATACAGTTTCTCTTCATAGAAGTACTAACCTCCCCTGTAAACTGTTTTCGTTTCCATAAAATGCTGAAGGTTAATGCTATTTGTTTCTGTACTGTATTGGAGCTGGATGCTATTGCATGTGTATATGTTTTTTTAGGCAATGYGACTGTATCAAAGCTTCCATTTGGTTAAAGAAGTCCTCAACTTCCAAATTTTTACCCGAGTAAAGTGTGCACCCACTCTGCTATCATCACTAGGCCTGTGCCTTAACACTGAATCTTCCACAGACACCTGAAGCTGGTCTGAAGGAMGTAAATAGGAATTTTACCTGCATGAATGATCCATCCTCATTGCATTCTGGGATGAAGACTGCTTCCTGCGGCTTCTTTGCCTGTTCCAGCGCTTGAGCTCTCTCTAATCGACACTTACTTTGGCCAGCATCTACAAAGAGAAAAGCAAAACTCACATCACAAACACCGTTTGGCCCTTCCAAAAACTACCAGATGCACCACACAGCTGAAAAGGGAAAACCCTCCCAAACAAATAAATATAGAGCAYAAAGGGCCATTACCTGTATGTTGACAAGGTAGATATGGAGTTAGCACTCGTGATCCTAAAGACAAATATGAACCTTGACAAGCAAACTACAAGCTGKATCCATGAAGATCACATTCCATTTCACAGATCATGAACTTTGACAACAGAATCACTAATACCAGCATTAAATGAGAAAGTCAGTCTGGATTGTTAGACCAATTGAATTCACACTGCATGGCAAAAGAAGCAACTTCCACCTAATATCTCTAGATAYAGAAATCACTGACAGTGCTGTAAATAGTTTTCATAAAGGCATTGACCAAAGTTTTCGAGCTGAGCACTTCATTTACACAACTGATTACTCCAGAGATTAAGTTTCCAGTTTGCCAACACAGTTTCATTTTAAACATATCACATTACTTCCCAAGAAGGATTTCACAAGGCTTCTGAAATTACAAAAATCAAACCCTTCTCTTTGGAAAAAGAATGACTCATAGCAATATTATACAGTACAGATGCCATTGCTTAGACACTGGGTTAGAAAGCAACAGKACCTGTATCAGTTCTGCTACTGACCACTGAGTGACTACAAGTTGGTGACCTCAACCTCCTGTGACCTCATGTCACTTTTGATCCTATGTTACTCATCTTTAGACTAATTTGTTTGTTGGGTGTTTGCACAATACCAAAGCACACAGAGCTTTGATCTCAGGTAGATGTTTTACACACCTGTATAAAAAGCGTGAAATTGTTACAGAATAAAAAGACTTGAATAAAATTTACACTGTGGTTTTTTTTTTCAATTATCAGTAAGCTCTGACATGGAATTTCCTTTTCGTCTGCTTTCCTTTTCGCTTGCATGACCAAATGATCAGATCTTGTTTGCACATCTCCAGTGGAACACAGTCCTGCCAACTGATCTTCCCAAACGTGTGCACACTCTTTCAGCTAAAAAGGAAGCCCTGGCAGTGCTGTTAACTGGAACAACTATCACCTGCAGATCTCCTGCTCAAGCTTAAGAGTCTAATCTTGCTTGGCTTGACAGAGGACATACTACAAACCCAGATGGTGTGCCTGCACTTTCTTTTTCATAGCTAGCTACTTGACTAGCTACTTGAAGCAAAAACACTTTCAACTTCTGCTTCACCAGAGACAAGTAGCAAAACAAATCAGAGGAGATTATGCAGATGTGCACTTGCAAGAACAAAACAGGTGTGAATTTCTTACATGACAATCAAACCAGAAGTTCCCAAATAAAAGTGTTTTCTAGTCTCTGCATTTGAGGATACAAGACTGCAGACAGGCATTTCTAGCTCCTCTCCTGAACATAAAATAGAATTATAAAGCACTTCCACATAGTATCTGCTGTAGTGCTGGCACACTCACAACTACATGACTGAAACTAGATGCTTCAGCACAGGGCTGGTAGAAGCAAACATTCTGTGATATCTCCTGCAGTACAAATACTTTAGGAACCCAGGCAGAAGGGAAACTAACCCAGRTCTCTGTCCAATTTGTCTAATGAACAGAGAAACACACACAAGATCAAGCCCTTAATTTAAGGAGAAGATAATAAAAACACACTACTGCTAAGGCTACCATGTCCCTCCTGGCAATTCRAAGTGGCCTTTACAGATTGAACTCTACTCCCACTCAGCAGAGCACACTTCATAGCACAGCAACACTACACCACAGCRTTTAAGAGTTCATTGTTGTTGCAGCATCTTTTGCAAATCAATCCTTGGCTCAAGTGGTGACTCTTCACAAATTGCTGCTGAAGTACAGAGAAGACAGACAATTTTTCTACTGCTCACAAGACACTCAGGACTGGTTACTTCTCCCATCCTCCCTCACTGATTTCCAAAGGTCATGCCAGTCCTTTTACAGACTTGATTTGGAACAAACACCTACATACCACATTAGGTGTAGAGGTGCGTGCATATTGCTATCTTTTTTGTCTGTCTTCCACAGCTCAGTTCCAGTAAAAACACTGCCTTTAAAATCAACATTTACCAGTTTGTTTTTAAAAGGACTGTCAATCCTTCTCTTCCTCACTCCACAGGCTGGTATTTTTATAATGTTTGCAACAACATGTGATTTCAGTGGGATGACTTCACCTTGCTATTTTTGCTTTGTTAATTAGAAAATGTAAAATATTACATAAGTGCCAAGTGTTTAAAAAGTACCTGCCAAATAGCTCACCCCAAGTAAGATGCATTACAAATTTTACTAAAGCCTGATCTTATGATTGTAGTTTCATATACCCTATTCTGCATTTCAACAGCTTACCCAAGCGTTTCAGCACTTTCTTCCCTGTTTTTAGAAATGTTCTCTGCAATATTGAACACCATGTTTATAAACCAGAATGGCATTAATGCGTTCCAGTTTCATGGTTCAWGCAGACTGAATTGGACATTCTTCCCTCCATTACATTAGGTGAAAAACCAAAACAGCATAACTTCTTTTGAAAGCAGACCTGCTTCATTTTACTTTAAATATCTTCAAACTTGAGACAAATTTACTGTAGCTCAGAAAGCTGCCTTTTAAAGAAAATTAATTCTCAAGCTGGCAGCTGGCAACCAGGAGATTGTTAACTACAAGTGATGTTTTTGACATTCCTGGCCTAATCAGCACAATGCAGGTGCACATAATTTTGGATTTTGCAATGAAGTTGGCTAGTTACCATGGCTGATCTTATCCATGAACAGTTTATTCAAACAAGACCACCGTGTCCCTCAGAATATACACAGTGCACTCCTGAAGAGGCTCCAAGAATTCCAACATCCTCTCTTCAACAGGCAGAGGCAGTATTGACACTGCACAACAACGTGGTACAAAGACCCAAGCTCTCCTAATAACACAAAGTAAAACATCTCCAGGATCCACATAACACTAGCAGCAAATCAATACAATGCAACCACTGAAATCTATTAAAGCTATTTAATTTTAACTCTCCTATGTTTGTATCCAAAGTTCAAAGAGCAAAAATTGATCCAAGCAGCTTTTTAACTATTTCCAGTTCCATTAGGTAACTGTCTCACATACAGGCCAGGTGTCCMTCAGGCATGAAGAAGTTCAGCTACACTCAAGTCAGCAGGTTCATAACCATTTACTCTTACCTGTGTATTTGCATAAAACAAGCAAAACAGAATTTAAGCAAACTACAAAAACTKGCCCATCTGTTGTACAGGATATCAATCATTATTTGCTCTCCCCACTGTTTTCCACTTCATTTGGGTCAAGTCCTACACACCTGGACCCCAGGACACCTTGGGCCTTCTTGGCCACAAGGGCACTGCTGGCTCATGAACAGACTGCTGTCCAACAGGACTCCCAGGTCCCTCTCCACAGAGCTGCTTCCCAGCAGGTCTGCCCCCAGCCTGTGCTGGTGCAGGGGGTTATTCTTCCCCAGATGCAGAACCCCATACTTCAYTGAATTTCAAAAGGTTCCACTCTCCCCACCCCTCAGATCATTCAGAAGAGTTCCACAGCCCTCCCACTTTTGTGTCATCAACAAACTTGCTGAAGAGGCATCTGTCCCTTCACCCAAGCACTGATGAACAAATTAAATTATACTGGACCCACCACTAAACTTTGGGGGACATCACTAGTGACAAGCCTCCAACAAGACTCTGTACCATTGATCCTAATCCCCCGAGACCTGGCATTCAGACAACTCTCAAATCACCTCACTGTCCACATGTCCAGCCTGTACTCCTGAGCTTGCCTGTGAGGGTATAACGAGGGACAGTGTCAAAAGCCTCCCCTGAGTGTAGGTGGACAAGACCCATTACTCCTCCCTCATCTCTCCCGCCAGTTGTCCCATCATGGAAGGCAATCTGGTTGGTTAAGCATGACTTCCCCATCCATGCTGACTGCTCCTGATTACCTTCTTGTCTTCCTTTCATGCCAATGCACTTTGTTCCTTTTTTGATAGCCACATACAATTTCCCTAATTTATTCAGAGCATGACAAGAAACATGCCTAAATTTGCRAAGTGATTGAAAGTGACATTTTAGATTTTTCTAACTGCTGCCAAGGAAGGACATTCTTACTCACAGTCAAGGGAGAATAAAGCAAATTCAAAAGACAAAACACATGGATCTAGCAAGCAGACTAAAAGTGATTTCAAAACATCATCCTGTCCAATGAAAATAGTAGGTGGAGGAGATTATCTTCAAATAACCTATCAGACAGAAGGAGACCTGCCTTTCTACCACATTAAGCAAAAGCTGTGTTCATTTCCTGTGTCCCAGGAGAAAGGCCAAAGGTCTTAAAATTTCCACCAGTAACTTACAGACAGGTTCACTCTACACACTGACTTGTGATCGATGAACAAATTATTCTGTACCAGCAGACTTATTATACTAATTGATAAATCTAAAGGGATCTTTTTTTGAACACTTCCACATTGTAATTAAATAAGCCAAACAAGTTCCTAGAAAATAAATCTGTTCTAAGCTACAGACACACACCAATATAACAATCCCAGAAAAAAATTACTCTTGGAAAGCTGTCCAAATTAACAAGAATTTGTCCTTAACCCCTGCAATGTTTTGAGGTATAACTCCTACTTAACATCAGATTTTATGATGCATCCTGAGAAAAGATTCAGGTAGGATTGCTTGGCTATGTATTTTAGACACAGCTATACCATCTGGAACTTTTCTCCAGAATCTCATCAATGAGGCTCCATTTGTCAGGGATGCCATAATTTGATCACTTGAAGATACTCCTGACTTTTAACTCTTTGTGATGTGTGAGTGAGGATTTGGCAGGAGTTCTGATAATTCAGCACTGAAGGAATTTAACTGCAAAGCACGTGAGGAAGCTAGCAATGAACAAGAGCTGAAATAAGGGTTATAGCTCCCAAAGGGCTGGCAAGATTTCATCCTAAAGGTCCTTAGTTTCTTGAGAGAGAACAGAGCTTAAAGTTGAATCAAAAAGGTTCTGTTCTCACTATGGAAACCATTCTGTTTTCCTTGGCACAAGCACAGTTCAAGTCATCAGCATATACACTGGAAGCCTATGGTAATCTGGGGTGCAGAACTATGACTTGCTGTCCACAATATACTTTCTCTTTTACTTAGTTCAGTTGCCTGTTTCCTTTCCCCCTTCGGAGAGTGAAGTTAAAAGTTCCCATTCCATGAGGGCAAATTCTTGGATACACTGTCTACCACAACTGACAGAGCTCCATGACCCATGGGATTCCTTACAGTTCCACGGGAACTTTCCTGTAGAGCACCTGTCATGGAGGAGAAATGGAGGCTGTTTAGGGTGCCCTGCTGCAGTACAAGGTGCTGGAACACTGTTGGCAATATCTTCCTTTTTGCAAGTCCACAAAACAGACCTGGCCAACAGCCTGCAGCTCAGCACAGCTGTCTCACAATYGCCCGGATTTGCCAACAACTGTGATCTTTATGCACCAGAGGTCATGATCCTAATGCAGCTAGAAAAACAAAATACCTTTCAATAGCAGCACATATGGAAATTAACAGCAAGGTTAAATTTGCATGTGATAGTTAAAAGAATATTCCTACTTCACCGGGAYTGATGGGAGTGTTAAGTGGGTTAAATGCAATGCTTGCAGTTTACAAACACTCCCAGGTTRTTAGCTACTGTTTAGTAACACAGGGTGTGAGGGAAAAGGAAAGGAGAATGAAATTAGTTTCACCTAAACATTTCAGTTGCATCAGAGAGCAGGAMGAAAGTGTACTTTACCTGTGTCTAAGACAAGAAAGTCTCAGTTACTTCTTAGGGACTCTGCAATCACAACATGCAGTAGGCCATGTAGTTTGGCAAGCAAATTTTGTCAGTTTCCAGAAACAGACATTTTAGTATATGGATGCATTTCAGATCTTGTKTTTTCAGCAACTGAACAGTGCCAGTTTATACGGCAGTATCAGCCACGGAGTTGCTTATCTAAGCCACTCCACTCAAGGGATGAAACCAAGAACAAGATTCACACKCTAACACTTCATATTGCAATACTCAAAAATGCATCACTTGCAAGGACAATCCAAGTGTTTCCTACGCCCTGGGAAGAAAGCTTCTGGGTTTCCAATACTCAGAAAGCAGCCCAATTCAAAGGCCTCGATCTATTTATGTGAGAAGCTGCCATAAACCAACCCAGCAGTGGTGAAAAACAAACAAAACAATCAGACAAGTAAGCTTTTTTCCAATGAGAAATGGTTTAAAAGAGAACAACATTTGAAGTCATGCTCATAACTCAGCTAAACTATAAAGCCTGTCAATACACTGAATAGTTATTTCCATTTTATATCAAGTAATTCTAACAAAGATACATTTTTACAACAGTAAAAAAGCCTTCATAAACAAATTCCAGACTTAAATGAATGTTTATTTATTCTTTCACCTGGATTTTAATGAGTTTCTCCTCTCACTTGAATCAATTGCTAAAAACACCTGTAGCATCTGAGTCAATTGGGCTTTCAGGAAATGAACTCCACTTTATTTTTCACTTCACGGCAAACCATTTGTGTGACAAGACACCWTTTTTAAAGTTTCAACCTCATCTTCAGACAATGCTGAAGAGCTGAATTGAGGGACAGTACTCACACTTCTAAGGAGATGTGTAACAGCAAACAGGCAAAAAAAAAAAGAAAGCCATGTAAAGCCTTACATGCACTGTCTTCTTAGTTAGCTTAGCACAGAAAGGCTGTGTATGTCTGAAAAGGGAATCAAGATCTAGTGTGCATCAGTCAAAGTATCTTCCTATCAGTCAAAGGTATCTCAGTTCCTCATCAGCACAGGTTGAAAGGAAGAAGCCTGCTTTCAGGATTTGGTTTTATACTTCCATGGGCCAGTTGTTTCTGTCTGCAGACACGTATTTCAGCCTTTTGCCAGTGATGCCTGTGGCTCCTTTGCCTTCTTGCATTGGTAATTCAAAAGTCAGCTTTTACTCTGTAGCCTAAACCAAGACTCAGACGTCCATGCTTGCAGAAATGCACAATTCCAAATCAGATTACTCTCCAAACATGGTACTAAACTTAAGGGACTAAGAATTCAGTTTCCTACGAGGTAGGGCTCCCATTTCTCCTCTCAGAGGCATTTGAAATCCACCTACCTTTGCACCGGCCACGATGTGTCACGGTCAGACCCKGCTCACGGCATTTGGCTCTCTGGTAGTCGCACATGGACTCGTATGTTCTGCCATCAGAGGCACACAGGGGTTTGGACTGGGACCTGGAGCAATGCAGGTTACACTGAGGGTCTCTGTCACGGTCACTTATTAAAAACTGAAAGAAATGAAAAAAGGAGGGAGAAAAAAAATAGAGGTTTTGTTCTGTTTCCCAAAAGAGAGCATGGTGCATATTTTTCTTTATGACAACAACAATATGACTGTAATGCATTTTAAGCTGCCTACCAAAGCTGATTTTGCCTGAAGGGAACTTTAAATGAAACACGTACATACTTAAAAAAATTAATGGTCTTTGCCATTCCATTTTCTTTAATAAAATAGAAACATTACTCACTCTGCCTCACCTCTAAAAAAGTAAGATGTGCAAAGCCAAACACAACCCACACGGGAAGGGCAATACTGAGTCACAAGAGCCCAGCCTGCCCAGTGCTGCACCACAAACAGTACCAGACAATTTTACTGGTACCCGGTACCAGACAATTTTAGTCAGTGACACAAAAAACTTATCACCAAAGACAGAGGAATCCAGATCAAGATTGGCCTTGGTAGTTTGAGTCATGCATGTGACCAGTTTTATATCACCAGTGTTGTTTTTGAAAGCATTATTTGTATCAGAGAAYACCACCTGCAAGGGTATACCTGCGCACTTCCAAAGATACTTTTTGTTTGTTCCTGATGACGTCCAGCACAGCTGGCAATCATCTTCAATGCATCCCACAATCGAATKGCACACTATGTGAAAACCTATTTCCTTTCAGAAGTTTGAGTTTATATAATCTTTTTGCATACCTCTTCTTCCTGAGCATTCCATTAGGATGCAACCCACTTTGTACAAACATGACACTCCTTGTCAGTCTCCTGCAATCTGAACAATCCCAACCTTCCAACTGCTCACCCAGGCCACTTCCTCCATATCGTGATCACTACCGTTTTCCTTGGAGTTCTGCTTTATTTTTGGTGATGGGGAAATCCACAATGTAATGCAACCCCATCTTCTGTCTGCTTGTTCCCTGCAAATCCCAACATCTGGCAGTAGTTTACTGCTTGTACCCTCAGCTCTACTCTGAGCTGCCTATAGGGACACAAAGGTCTCTTTCCCAACTTCATACTGTCTTCCTGAGGATGCAAACTGATGGTTATCTTTCCATAACCACTTGCATAAATTTTTGGCAAGGCATGACAGTAGCAATTCTTTTCTCTTCACATACTACCCCACTTAATGGCTTGCCAGAMCTTTAATTATTACCCAAATCCAACCACCTGCTCCCAGGAAGATTTCAGGKAACTCTTCAAACAAGTTCCATGAGGATTAGCAAAGAAAAGGGAAGTCAAACCCGCCTTGCACTTCCCCTTCCCTACCTCCCATTCCTACAGCCTCTTGCAAGCCTGGGGGCACCAGAGCTGCTGCTCTCTAGCACACTGACATCCCAGSTCTCTGTCAAAGTAGTTCTGAGCTCAGCAGTTCAGAGCTGGCTGGCAAACGGGCACTGACTGACACCCTGCCTGCATGCACAAAGCCACAACTCTCCAAGTGTGTTGATAGCTGGATGCCTTACAGGGAAGTGTGAGTCATTGCCATAATCACCTTGGTGTTACAGTTTCCTACAAAGCTGTCTACTCTGTGCTTTGAGGTTAAAGCTGTTGAAAAAACATTGCCTGAAGCCTAGTTTGGGTTGGTTTTTAACCACTCCAAGAACATGCATCTCCGAAATTTGGTTGTTGGTGTTTTGTTTTTTTTTATTTTAAAAAATCTTACCCCCCTTCTCTCCCGAATTAAATTGAAAACAATTGATAAGTTTCATATTTTCATACTGTACTGCTGGATCTTTCAAAGACTAATGCATTACTAAACCCCTATTTAAACCTGACAGCTGGGAAAAGTAAGCAAGGTTTGGATTCGTTTTACTTTTGGTGGAGCAAACTTTTTTTAAAATCTCATCTGTCACAGACTTGACATATTTGTTACAGCACAGTGTATTTGAAATGTTTTTGTTCCTTTTCTGCAACACATTCTATAACCTGGCAACACCTGCTCCAAATGGGAAATTGGAAAATTTAAACCTGAAGGCAATTTTAAATGGTTTATAGAGACCTGGACTAGACTATAAAAACACTGTAAAGCTGGACCAGATTTTTTCTTTTCAGGGGTTGAACTATCACAACTTAGTTTGGAATTGCACTGGCTACAGTAACATCTTTCTGTAGCCCCCAAAATGCAAAGATCAGTAGTGAATATAAACATACAGCAAAAAGCAACAGACTGAAGGTGCTGAAGCCTCCTCTGAGTGTGTCATGTCAGAGACCCTGCAAGACTCACAAGGCTTTTCAGTTGTCTCTATGCATAAACAGACTTTCAAAGCAGAGCTCCCTGACAGGACAGTATGGGACACATGCAGCAATTAAATATTCAGTTCAACACAGGAGCCATTCGGGTTTAGAAGGCACACAAAAATCTCCCATTTATCAAAACTGAGGGCTTGAGCTACTAGCATGAAACTTTTTGCAAATTCATTGTCAGAAGCTGAGTTCCACAGATCTGAGTTATTTAGAGGTTCAACAAAAAATCTAGAATACTAGTTCTCAGCATCAAACCATATTACCCAACTTATTGAAAGTCATCTTGCATCATGAAAACTCACTTAAGCCTTCTGCAGCCTGTATCAAAGTATTTAGTGTAGAGAGGGCTTGTGCATCAAGAACATCCCTTCTTCCAGAATAGGCATCTCTAAAGAATAGAAGGTTGGTTGCTCTTAGGGCTAACAAACAAGTTAAACTTAAGGCTGTGGAAGAGTTTTCCTTGGGTGCCTCCTCACAGACAGAGAAACAACTCGACATTGATTAATTATGAGGGCCTGAGGAAACATGCAGAGCACCCCAATGTAGTCTGTGAAGTTCTTGCCTACCCAAATTACGCCAAGAACCACGTTATTACAAAAAAAAAAAAAAAGAAGAAGAAAAAAATCAAAGCCCTTTTAGCATTTGTAATTTGGATTACAGTAGGGAGCCCACACAGCATGTTCGGTGCTTTCCAGACACTGAAGATGCCACACCTGCCTTGCCAAAAAAGTTTATGGTTTACATAGTTACACAAGATGGTGCTTGTTTTGTTCAAGTAGATTGCAACTGTGTAAGACTGCACTAAACTGAAGAAGGATCCAGGATCACACCTGTCTGATCAGGGTTCTTCTCACGCAAGCAAACAGCACTGCCAGAAAGACCAGYAGTGTCTCCTGCAGACCCAAAGGGCTTCACAAACTCCCCCTTACACTAGGGCACCTGCTCCACCCTAGCTSACAACTCACATCTTTGCTCAGCAGTACTGACAGCATTCAGGTATGAAATGRTGGCTCTTTGTCCCATTTATAGCACATTAAGCATTCATGCTACAGAAGTGATGGTCAATACAGACCACCCAGCAACATTTAATATACTTGGTATTTTGAGAGTACATCCACTCTGCCCAGCACAAAAAGTCTTCCTTTAGCATTCTGCCTGTATGAGAGCATGTCCTCCTCTGCAGGCAACCTCAGCTGCATAAAGAAAAACACTGGATGAATGCTGAAATATGTCTGCCAAGGGGAGATCACTTGGTTCTGTAATTTTAACAGCTAGGACCACAATCCTCATGTAGTTGGATTTATTTTTTTAATTCCTACTTCAAGCAAAAGCAGGTACTGCTCTCCCAAGGGCGGAGCCCTGCTCCACAAGAACCCCTCAGTCACTGCTGGAGATTTTGCTCAACCAGGCTGAGGACTGTGAGAAGGTGTACAAGGTGCCCTGATGCCTGGTACCCACCCTCCCCAGACACGASACGACACCCTCCCCAAGACAGGAACACGATTCTCTGGTCCCTCCAGGAGAAGAGCAGCAAGATAAATATTGTGTCTTTAACACCAAATGTCCTATGATGACCCTTAAAGCTCAAATCAAAGCTTGATGTCCCAACGGCTTCAGGACACACACACAAACAGGCTTTGCAAACAGAAGAGTCACTACGCACAGCACTGCTCAGTGCTCTACACACAGACACACAATGCAAGCAGACCTGGACTCAGGGAAAAAGGTCTGCAAACATATGCGGCACCAGCAGGTTTCCAAGCTTCATCTAGAAAGAAGAGGAAAATCATTATCTTAGCTCTGAAATTTCTCAAAGCTTCTTCTTGATTTCTGTGCTCCCATTTGTTTCAGAACAGAATACATCCAAAGCAAATGGGATTGGCGACAGCTTATCAGTTCTTTATCTCCTCCCTTTTCCTCCATGAGAAGAAAGCTATTAAAAGTAGAACTAAAAGGAAAACAAACAAACAAACCACCATAAGCACAAGACCTCACCAAAAAAAAAAAAAAAAAAAAAAAAAAAAAAAAAAAAAAAAAAACCAACAAAACAAACAAACCCCCTCCCAAAACTAGAAGGAATGATCTACTTTGCAGGAAAAAGTTAAAATTGACCAGATTGCAAATAGGATCTGTTGAATATAGACACAATATTAAAATAAGCATAAGTAACACTACTATTAAGGAACAGTATTTGTATTTATGTAACATTTGTTTACACTAAGGTAGCCTGCACAGCTCCTACTCCAGCCAGTTTGAGTCCTTGCCCTAAACAGTTTCCAGTTCAATGCAGCTCTCAGAGCATCTTTYTATGTCAAATGTTCTGTATTTATAAAGACACAAACCTCCTCCTTTAGCAAATACATTTACACAGGTGCTTGCAGAAACCACTTCCCAAACTGCTTTCTGCTTCTTCAGACTTGAAAAGAAAAAGGAAAGATAAGAGGTCAGAATGAAGTTAACTTTGCCAACAAAGCATATCTGTTCTTTTTCTCCACACCTCAACACCACTGCTGACAAACAACAAACACTGATTAAAGGATTTTTAATGCCTGTGAAAGAAAGCAGACTCCCTGCAGCTGCACAGCAGCTGGGAACACTTGTGTTATTTAGCAGAGAAAAGGTCTGACCCCACAAGTGAAAATGAGCTTGGTGGTCACTCATTCTATTCACCATCTGGGTACATTATAAGCACAAACAGAACAGCACAGCCCTTTGTGATGGAGGTAACGAGAAATGGCCAAGGCATTGTAGTACCACAGT